TTAAATTCAGGCCTACAACTATTTCCACTCACCTTGGGTCAGATATGAAGGTCTTAAGGCCTAAAAGGTCTTAAAGGAACAAAGGTCTAAAGATGGCGCAAACTCTGACATCAGATTCGCGGATAGGCCGGTATATCGTGCAGGCGAATGAAGATGTATCATTGGTTATCCAGGAACCATTGGTTTTCTGATCACGCTGGGTCGTGCATTAACCGCCTAAAGCATTGGTAAAAGTCCTTTTATTGTCTTTAATGTCGTCGTCTTACTTGAAGATAAGAAGTGTAAGATTGTTCCATGCCGAGATGGAAACTCAAGTAGTTCATGAAGGGCTTTTAATGTCAGGTCATGAAAGTGCCTCGAGTCGCCTTACCTTGTCCCTTAAAATAAACCGTGGCTTGTTTTGACCTGGACGAGGTTTATTATGTAGGCATGTAAACAGTCACTTAGAATACGCATGATCTAGTTCAACCTCATTCGAAATGGCCTGATATGACGTTCACCAGCCGTTTTTAAGTTTCATCCGGCGGGCTACAAAGCTCATGTGGTCTCATTTGTTGTCAGCGGGACTGTCGAGCACGGTGCATTCTTTTTTTTTTAAGTTGACTTATTTTAATTGCTTTTCGTGATATGCTACTAGTGGTCCCTTGTGTGTCGCAATGTATGCTGTTCATGCACAAGGGAGGTCTCATGATTTTTTAATGTGCATATATTTTGAACAGCTCGGCAAGCATGCGACAGCAAACCGTACCTGAACTCACAAAATATTTAGCACCAAGCCGCACAGACTTCCTGAGCCGATCCATCAATATCCTTGTAACTGTCTTGGCGCAGGCCGTAGCTAAAGAGGACCAAAGTTGCCTTCATACGGTATGATATAGCAGTGGTGGCATCGGCAGAACCGGAATGGCCATGGCGACGAAAACACTCAGACACGTAGGCTGTTAAAAGACCATTTCAAGGTTCCTTCAAGTTGAGTGTGATGGCTCGTAATGCTCTTTTTAAACCTCAAGTTTAGCAACTTCTTGCAACTATAGAATTTAAAAAAAAAACTATAGCCGTTCAACGTTTAGAGCCGTGCCGTTTAGAGCCGTGCGGCTTACCGATAAGGAAGTACGAGCAGGTGCAAATACGTGATGACGTCACGCACCTTATTTTTCAGCTCGTTCTAGAAAAAAAGGCACGCGGAATATGCTGTTTGAGAAAATTGCGTCGAACAGCTAAAAATCTATATCATTTGTGAAGCACGCAGCAATATGATGTTGAATGTCAGCTAGTTGCATTATAGCAAGGTCACCTAGTTCCATGATTCGTTCAACTTTTGATCCCATGTTCTGAAAAATATGCTTTCTGCGATCTTATGTAAATTGATATGCATTTAAAGACCAACAAATTGCCGTTTAGATTAAAAAAGAATCTTTGCTGAATTCTTTTTAGACCGGTCATAACTCGAACTGAACCATTGGCGGATTACACACGGGGCGCGCCATGAGCCGATGTCGGATGACCTGGCCTGCGCGGCTCACTGCATCGGGAGCTCTGACCACGACCTTGAAACCATTCATTTTAATATAGAACCGGGCAATTTGACATTTTTTTAGGCACTCTAGAGCTATCTTTGAACAGCGTTGTGTGCGTGTTTATGGACTTCACGTATTGCTGACCCTCACAAGTCGCGTGGATGGGAAATGTCGCGCAACGTCGCGCCCTCTGAGACCTCGTAGCACATCGCTAATATTTACATATAATTAGGTTGGAGCTCAACATGAGAAGAAATTAACATTTGATGTAAAGCTGCATTTATTTTTAGATCTAACCTAGAGCCGGAGCAAAGCACTGGCCTAGCACGCCTGGAACTGTACATGTGCAGCTTGATACAGCACGCATGTAGTTCGACGCCGTCGAACTACATATAAACCAGGCCGGAGCCCAAGATAAGGTCAGTGAATGAAGAGTCCCATTGCCAGGAGGTCGGGAAATGAGGGCCTGCAGTTTTTCCGCTTTCAGGAAGTGCCTCCAGGAAATTCTGGATTGAAGGAATCAGATGATCATAGTCGAGGAAGAATATAGCAAAATTATTTGCGTTGCGTAGCGCTATTACGGTGAGCACGGTGCAAACCAGTTATCATCACGAGCAAGGTTTGTAAACGTGTTAAGTTGTTATAACTATGCCAAACTAAAACGTTTGTGGAGCCGTTTAACCTGAAATACAAAAGGGAGGAGTTTGCGCAGAATTTTAGAGGAATCATCTTTAAATGATATGGTAGAAATTGGCGACAAATCGCATACGGATTGTTGGAAAAGCGTAGTCATCCATCGTTTCGAAAATTGATGCGATCCCGTCAATGAGCGGGTATAGCGAATCTATGGACACGAGCTCTTGATAAACGGCAGGGTCTTGTTCAGCCACGGAAGCACGACCCCGAATCGCAAAATCATGATCTTGCGATTCCTGATTGACTTCTGATCACGATACTCGCGATCATGATTAATTTATGATCATGATTCGAAAGTATCGCGACAAGACCTAAAGCCTTCTAGCTTCTGAGCTACACGCCCGTTAAGATGTGCAGACGATTGAGTGCAGACTATTTCAAGGTCACCGAAGCACTAATGACGCCATAATAACGTCATTCATATCTTGCCATTCCATTGGCCATTCGACAATCAGGGTAAAAAGTATCATGGTCTAGTCGTCCATATATGACTTTCGTGAGCACAATTTCCAGACGAAACGGGCGTCGATCGGCTCTGAATCAGTGGTATGCAAGGTAAGATGACGCAATCAAACAATGTCGCGTTGAGGAGCATATTTGCTAAAAAGGGAAATTCTGCTGTTTAGAACAGTCTTTTTCGATCAAAATTATGTCAAAATTTACGAGTAAGTTTACTTAATCCAATCTGACGCTTGATTCAATATCTTCAAAAGTGGAGCATTCCTTTTCAATTCATTCAACAGCTTGCGGCAGTCGAATGAAGCCAGGAAACTAGTCAGGGAAAGATGGCACCCATGCTTAAAAGCTTCCATCAAGTTCAAAGCAAGATCAGTGTCTCACTTATTGCTGCTTGGCCCTACATAAAACAAATGGAACTGCCTCAACGTATGCCACCATGCTGAGACATTGGGCCCTAACAGTGTATTACACATCCTCGCGACACTTCATGGGAAACGCTATGCATCGAAATAATGCAAAGCTTTTAAAACTTCCTCGCCATTTTCGGGACGTCTACGTGCTTCAAGTCAAGTGTCTTACATGGTCAACCTAATTGAATGCCCAGAACGTGAGATAGTGGTCCAATATTGAAGAAAACACCATATCGCACCCTACGCGTCATCTACGCTGGTGTTAGCGATCAGGGATCACTGGTGGCTTTGAACATCAGATGTTAGGAACCAATGTAGGTTATGGATAATAGGATTAAGAACAGGAATTCTTTGAAGATCACTGGTTTTAAGAGGCTGTAAAATGTAGGGATTATGAACTATAGGGATTTTGAACATTAAGGTTAGGTTTCCTTAGCAGTTATGAACATTGATGTTACGGTTGTTGGCGCTTATGAAAACAGAGGATAATGAACATTAGGGGTTGTAACTTTAGGGAGTCACGTTCCATTGTGGGTTTCCATCAAGCAAACCTTCTTCTAATGAGGCGAACAACGTTAACAGTCCAACAGTTCCCAGCAGTTTTAATGTTAATTCTAGCACGTGGGCTATGAAATGCTTAGCTTCTTTGATGTGTTATGATCAAACAGCGGGCAATGATTTTACACGGCTAGTGCTTTGGCTAGCATTCATTCATGCCAACACTGATTGTTCACAGCATTAAGAAAACAATATTTTCGGAACCAAAAGTGGCGTATGCTCAGCTGCTTTTCACGGGTCAAACGATGCTTTCAACCCTTTAAAACTACCCTGCAGACCCCCTGACGTCGTGGGGAAGGACTGTTTTAAATACAACTGACTTATAGTGCCAACTACCGACACTTAAGGCTTCTTCCACGCATAGGAGGGTTCAAATATCCACTTTCTGACAAAATTTGGCATCGGACTACCCCGTTATTTAAGCTCAAACACAATGAGCAAAATATCACCGGATCGAAACGATGCATTGCTAAAACAGACCTTCATCATGCATGTACAATTGGCTTAATGCTTAGAAGATTCCCTGTCGACAATCTGGCCGAACTCAGACGTTAATGTGTGTGAAAGGACCCCCAATGACCTTGGGTGCTCGAGCAGCTCATTCTGGCGGCGTCATTCCGGTGTGCTCATTCTGTCGGTTTCTGTGCCGTTGGCGCCGAATTGCTGTGACGAACGTTGCCGGTGCGGTCTGTGGCAATTCTGTCGGCCTCAGCAGGGTGAATGTAACCAGCTCATCTGTGAAACTATGTTGGTTTGAAATGAGTGACTGTGTCTGTCTCAGCAGTGTGACGGTGTTGGACTCAGCTAGGCGACTGTGAGATTAACGTCTCATCTGGGAGACTTTGTCTGTCTCAGCATTGTGACTGTGTTGGTGTCAGCCAGCTGGACAACTGTGTTGGTCTCATCTGGGAGACTAGTCCGTTTGAACAGTGACTATGCTACTCTCAGCTGAGATGCCGTATTAATCTCTGCTGGATAGCCCTCTGCTATGTCGGTTGAGCTGTCGGACTGGTTTGATTTTCCGAACACGGCGACGGTCGTGCTGGACGTGGTTGCGCCCGCGCCGATCTGCCCGCCCGCAAGCCTGCTGTGTCGGTTGTGACCAATGCTGCTGTCTGCTCAGCCCTGTGCCTCTGTGTCGGGTGCGGAGCCGGCCAGCGCTCCGTCCCGTCGCGCCAGCACCGGCTATCTGGGCGGCTCCGTGGCGGCTGTGCACGCCTCGTGCCGGTGACGGCTGCAGTGACCTCTCTCTCTGACCTCTGGCGGCGGCGGCTGGGCGCGCTGTCGTGCGGCACGCGCCACCGCCGGGGCAAGGCCGACCGCCGCCGCCTGCCCAGCCGCCGCCCCGTCCATATATAAACGGCCGCCCGCCGCTGCCAGGCATCCATTACCGATCGCCTTCTCACCAAGGTAAGCAGCGGCGCGCCGCGGCCTGGGAGCAGCGAGACTCAACTGGCCGCAGGGACAGCGAACAGGTGCAGCGACCTGGGGAACCACTCTCTCGCTATGCCATCGGTGAATCGTAGGCCATAGCGGTGGCTGGCGGCCGGAGGTGTCATATGCTTTTTATACTGTGCATACCAGACAGCGCTTTGCGATTAAGCTGAACAGAATACGCGGTGAGCATGGAAGCACCGGAACTTGTCCGACTGAGAGCCGATCAGTGATCGACAACAGCCTTTTAGGCAGCACTGTGCTGCTGAGCTATCTGGCGCTGACTGGGACCTGGGAACTGACCTGGTGCAGTCTGGCATGGTCAGTGTGGTGCAGTTTGGTCTGGTGGCGGCCGCTCCCCTGACTGCGCTATGGCCCGGCCGGGCGTGTCGACAGATGAGGACCCTCTCCCTGCTGCTCTGCGCTGCCCTGCTGGGCCTGGCTGCCCCTCAGTTCCGGTTCAGGCGTCCCCAGCGCCCGCGGAACTTCTTCCGGCCCCAGCAGAACTTCCGGCCTCAGCAGAACTTCCGGGCCCAGCAGAATTTCCGGCCCCAGCAGAATGTCGTGCAGAATCAGGGCCCGCCGCAGCAGAGTAAGTGGCAGCAGCTGCAGCGCCCTCCGCTGCTCTCAGCTTTGGCCAAGTCCTGTTCGTCTCGGCGGACAACATCCTTTGGACCCAATGCGTGCCGTTCGGTGGCCGCAACAGACTGCCTCTATAAATTTTGTGCAAAATACTAGGCGTTTTGAACACGAAATCCCTTTTCTTGGCATCGCCACCCAACAACATAATACGTGCTACGAATAATTCAAATATCTAAGGCCCTCTCAGCACGTATGCATTCATTATCAGCTTGTGCAAGGTGCATTTCACTCTACACTAAACACTAATTAGATCTACATAAGCGTTTTGATCTTTGTGGAGGCCGCCCGTAAATCACGTTACGCATTTTTGGCAATTTTTAATCCTCTCACGCTGGTCACGAATCGGTCACTGGGGAAAATCCTCCTCCCTGTTACTCTGTGTTAGGCATAATGTTCCCAAAATAGTGTCCGTTTGGACGCTGATCGAACTTAAGATGCGTAACAGGTCACCGGCCTATTGGTAGTCACGATGAACGCTGGCTATTTGTCATAAAGGTTTTAGATATTCATAACATGTTTTTTCCGTTATTAACAACCACGCCTGGGCATAACGGCGCGCAAGCCGCCACCCACCCGGCGTTACACTTCTATTACTCCCTACAAAAAATCACCATCCCCTCAATGCGCAACGAAATGTACGAACGGCCCAGTGCATATCCATAACCAAGTCGGCTTTGAGCTCTAAATCTAGGTGTGGATTTATTTTGGAAGACGCTGATCCTGGTGGATCGAGGCCGTCGGTGGTCAGCCTTACCTCTGGTGGCCCAGTCTGGTGCAGGGAGCTCTGGTCTGATCCGTGAAGACCAGCTGTGACATCCAGCGATACAATCATGCCCGGGACCGGATCTCGTCCGATGGTATATCCGGGGACTCGATATGAGTCGACTATTCAGAAACCCTACTTCTGACTTTGTTTTTCTTCAAACAGTCCCTCGTACTTATAAACTGCGTAAAAACAATCACGCCGAATGAAAATGCTTGCAAACTTTACTCCCGCTTGGTTTCTTACAGAGCTCTTTGAAAGCAAGTTACTGTGTGCCATGGCGCAACATACGTGATTTAGTCGTGTTTTACTTTACTGTGGTGACGTACCATCCTCCTTAGCTTAATGTAAACACTGGTTGGAAGGAAAGCCGGTTTGGAGCAAAACAGCATAAGACGCGAGAAACCAGACGAGAACCACCGATGATCTGTTGTGAGTTCGGTGATCCGAACCTACTCTCGATAACCGGATATTTCCCGCAGTCACTTGATCAGACCGGATCTGACATCCACTGATCCGATTTAATCGCCGGTAATCCTATCTGGCAGCTAGTACCCCTGTAAACTCTGGTGTCCTGGTGTCATCCGCTGTGAGCGGGCCCGGCTCACAGTAATCCGACGTGACCTCTAGTGATTCGATGGAATACCCCAAAACTCCACCTGCCCCCAGTGACCTGACCTTTTGTCCGGTGACCTGAACTCGCCTTTGGTGGCCTGATGTGACCGGCGCTGACCTGAGCGGCGGCCGCTGACCCGTGCGCGTGCGCAGGCGGCGGTCTGTACTACTGATGTGACCGGCGCTGACCTGAGCGGCGGCCGCTGACCCGTGCGTGTGCGCAGGCGGCGGTCTGTACTACTCGTGGCGTGACCCGGCCGTCGGCCGCAACGCCAAGTTCTCCTGGGGTCAAGCCAACGCCGCCTGCCAGCGTCGCAACCAGCGTCTCGTCTCGCTGGAGACGGCCGGCAAGAACCAGCAGATCGTCGGCGAGATCGCCAGCGACAGTGAGTGTTCGGGAGACGCGGGGCTTCAGACGTGCAGAGACGTATAGCATGCTCGGAGCTACCCGCTCAGAGACGTTTTGAGGCAAGGCTTTCAGGGGCCTTGTCCTGTTAAAGCTGTGGTTATCGTTAACTGGGATCACCTCAAGCTTCCGTGTGTTCTGTGTGACCCTGCGCGCTAGCGGCCAAACTGGCCTGATGCCGGGTCTCTCTCCGCCGCAGACATCCCGTACATCTGGACCAGCGGCCAGCGGACGGGCCAGAACAGCTTCCAGTGGGCCAGCGGCCAGCAGGTGCAGCCGCTGAACTGGAGCCGCACCGGCGGCCGCGGCGTGCCGCAGCCCGACAACCGCGAGGGCGACGAGAACTGCCTGGCCATCCTCAACCGGTTCTACCCCGGCGACCAAATCACGTGGCACGACGTCTCCTGCCACCACAAGAAGCCGTACATCTGCGAGTAGGCTTTGTCCGAGGCCCATCGCCGCCTGGCCAGGCCGCGGCCATGGCGCGACTGACGGTCTGTGGTCGGTCGTAGACCGGCCGCGCCGCCCCCGGTGGCGACATCGCCGCGCGTGGCATGAGGGAAACGAAGCGCAGGCTACGCCATAGTGAAGAGACTACGGAGTCCAGCCTTTCGTGACATCTTGTGGGAATTGAGCTCTTTTCTAAGTTATTGCACTGTTTTCCAAACACGGCGCTCTACCGTGCTTGGAAGATAAAATACACTGTATTTATTTGTACGAAATGAACCCTTGTTTGATGAGCAACTGAATGGCCGACCTACCCCAAACTATGCCTCAAGCCAGAAAGAACATCAGATAACCAGCAACACCTGCCGGTTATAATTTCACTTGGTTTCACTCTGACTTAACGCGCTATATGTACAAACCACTCTCGTTCCTAGGCTATTGCTTTAAATACAAAGCACTTGCCTGGGCCAAACTATTCATGCACGAATGCACCAGTATGGAAGGCAAGGATCCATCATCAATTTGGGTTTTAAGGACCCTCACACATGTCAGTGCCCACCATTTAATGGAGCGCCAGCATCTACAAAGACGATGCTAGCGCTCAGGGGTCATGGCGCAGCTGGGATCTAACCCGGGCCATCCACGTTGGAACAGAAGGCGCCAACCACTTGGTCAATACAATGCCCCCCCCCCCCCTTTGATCTCGCACCGAATCTTTGGGTGGGAAGAAACACAAAATGTGTGCCGCTTCGACGTATACACTCTACAACTGGATGCTTAACTTGCCATTGATCTTATGTGGCAGCGAGAAGACCTACTTTATCGAAACATTGAAACTATTTTTCTATGGGTTTTGGCGACTGTTTGGTGATACGGGGTAGACGTTTAGGACACCAAGAATGTTTCTGCTTCCCGTCATTTTGGGTTCACGGCCCCATCAGCTCCTTTGAATTTAACGGGGCTGATATTGCGGCCCACTTGCACCCGTTGGGTTTTCTCTGACTGGTATCTTGTGCGGTAGTTGTGCAATTGCAAACTGCAAGTTACCAGTGCATTGGTGGGGGATTGCTGGTGTTGGCACTGCTCAGACCTATTCTAACCACAAAATAGCAGGTCATCAATTTATTGTCCACGATTTATGTCGGCACACCTTGCGCTGGTGCAGCCGGGGAGGCCAGCCGACAGCTGTTTGAAAATTAGTGTTGAAGGTTGAAATGAAAGCCTGAAGCCCATTGCACGCCGAGTTTTTGCAATTTCCAGAAATGTAGCAATGTATGTGCTGATAATGTAACCGGCATCAAACATTCTTGGCCAAGCTGAGTTAACACCTGGCCTCCTGCTGCGAACATCAGAATAAGTTGTTTCTTGTTTATTGGCTGGTCGTTATGGAACTACATCCCTAGCATAATCCTGAAACCCTGGTTTTGAGACTGAGCCGAAAACCCGGGAATACTGGAGGCGAACAATAGCCTATATTATTGTGCTATGCTCTAAACAAAACTACAACAGCTGTAGCAACAGTTATTGGAAAGTAAGTATTAGAGAACGAACATGGCAAGCTGTTGTAGAGCATGATAACGAGTGACGTAAGCTTTGCGCCTCCAGCTTTGAAATAACTAGAACCTCTCCTGTACTTTGCACCAGCATAAACGTAAGTTCCTGAAGTAAGGCACCAGCACTTATCATTCATTTTTCCTGCCCCCATCGTCATGTTTCCATTTTTACAGCACTTACGTGCCATCTAAGCAAAGATACCGAGTTGTTGTTTGAGATATGCATGATTCTGCGTGATGTTGTGCTGTTGGAGAAGAAAACATATATTTCTGTAAGATAATATGAACTCAACATAAGATCAGTCATGATAATAGTTTAATTGCGCCCTAAGCATCTCAATGAGCATTCACGGGCATGAACCTGATTGCGTCCATACAGGAGTCCTTCCAAGCACAGTCAGCCTGCGTAAGAACAAAGAACCTTATCTTAAGTTCTGAGCATTATTTGGAACTTTCTGGGATTTTAATGTACTTCTAATGGATCTTTGCATACATCATTTACGTTACGGCATAGTTATGATTTATCTTATGCGATCACGAATATAGATTCACAACATCCAGTCCTGACAATAAGGACTGACAATGTTTGCTTGATACAGACGTTAAGCCATTACCTCCTGGCATTGGTTAAAGGTCGAAAACTATGAAGGTCGAAAATCATCAGCATAAAAAGCTCTGAGTTCCAAAACTGAAAAACCATGAGCTCATGGTTTTGTTGCCAATATGAAGTGTCTCATTGAGTACTTCATCCGTCATTAACCTGAACCGCACCTTTAGGTAATGCACCCTCAAAAAACCTCGCACAAGTGCATGGAGCCTTGGGTGCATGAATTTGGTCTCAAATGCGGCATAATCGCTGAAAAATACGCAACCATTAATACCTTGGACGGAGGGATTTCGAGTTTTGCTTAATGATCGGCTTCATCCTTTCCCGTCGCAGTTCTTATCGACACTGCCTCTTTCTTTTATCACAAATACATGATAAAGGCAGGAATATCGGACATTGATATCAGAACCTCCAATCCTGTGATATGTCAGATGTTTCAGCACATCGCATTTGTGATACTTTCTTGCTCTTCAATGTTCAGTGTCGATAGTATTGTCCGCATTACCTCAGGTATCGATAAGTAGGACTTCACTGCTTTGTGGTTTGATTAGGTGTTATGTGTCGGCACAACACACACGCTTTTTGCAAAATAGCCCTTCTGCACTGTCGTATTTGCAGCTGCATTTTCGAAAGGCTGCACTCAGGTCTGGCATATTAACGGCGACTAATTTGGCATGCTAACTGAGGGGGGGGGGGGGGTATCCCACCAATCACTGCCAAATCTCCCCAGCAAACCGCAACCCCTCCCCCCGCCCCCGCCCGAATGAAAACCTTGACTTTCCGGCAGCTCATACCCGACCAGATCGTTGACACGGTCGTTGAAACCGTAAGATAGACCGCGTAAAAATGTGGCGAGTCATTGCCCTGGGATCTACTGGCCTTGGGTCAATGTACTTCCACTGACGACGACTCCTCCGAGAGAAGTTTTTGGAGGCAAACGCAGTTTACCCCTTGGTTCTTTCCCAGTAACGCCATTATGCTTATTGTAAAATGTTGTCAATCTAGGATGTGACATTTTTCCGGGGAGGGGGAGGGGGAGGGCAAGGATAGAGTAGACAATAGGGACAGCTCTACGTGCGTCCCCATCCTTTGCTTTCACGAACCGCGCTTACATTGGCTGTCGTGTAATGCACTGTCAAACAGTCCTGTTTTATAGCGAAGCTTATCACGGTATCGACAAAGCATTGCCCATACTGTTTTCTATTTACTTGTCATTATGAAGCACGGAAAGTTTGCTGGTGTTTTCATATTTTTGAACAGCCACGTGTAACTAGTCAGTTGCCGTCAGGGCACTGACACAGCAATACAGCTGTGGCACAGTCCAACGCAGTCATGCCATCCCGATTTTTGCGATGGCTCCAAATGTACAGCGTACATCTACGCGTTCAAGCAAGCAGGGGCGCGACTTAAAAGTGGTTACCAAAAACGAAATCAACGGTCCGCAGGCGTGCCCAATTTGGTGCGTGCCGTAAATTAGCATTGCATTTTCTCGACCTGATTTTTACGTGGCTGCCTATAACCGGTAAGTGCCAATATTAAGTCACGTACCTATAATTTGGTAACATACCATAAGTTTGGTAAGGGGACTTATGCGCCCGGGGCTTCTTTGCCCGTACTACCCCGCCTATGTACGCCCATAGTCGCTGTCGTATCCACAGTGATTGACGTTTGCCTCCAGCAGTTCATGAGACTCAAATCGTGCCTCCAACGCCAAGTCTACCGCGGCCAAGACACACGCGTTAACTCAACACGTCCGGAGGGTGTGAGCTGAATGGCCACAGAGCATCTTTGGAGCACTTTTAAGGTCGTGCAGCACGGGCCTGCAACATTGTAATGCAAAGTTGACTGATCCGATAGCAACGTAGCTCCGAACGAGTCCAACGTTTTATGCACGGCATACCAATAAACTTGTACGAAGTTCAAACGACTGCCGCTGGGCGATTACCGTTTGGATGTCACCTTACTTTGTTGCCAGCCGGAAACGCCAAGTCAGTCATGTTTCTACCTCCGTTGTTATATTTCTGGCTATCTTACCACTGTCGCAATGTTTCGATATGGCACAGTTCCAGTCTGATCCACAATTCACAGTTTACCGAATAATCACTGCTGCGACACCTCGGACAGCGTCGAATATCGCTGATAAGTTATCTACGCAAACAAAATTCACGATCGTCCTTAATCTGCGATACTGCATTCCGTGCAATTGTGCCTCTCATGTAAATCAGCGATCTCCTAGAAGTGAAAATTCTAGATTCATCGTTGCTCGCGCAGCAAAATCAATATTTTGCATGATTTGTCGCTCAATTTGCTTCACCACGCAAACAAATACTGGCAATCCCATGAACCTAAAAATGGACCCTCCCACAGCCAGTACAGAAATACTGTACATCCCCACATCGTAGCCGACGCCATTCTGCAATCCAGGACTCCCAGCGCAGATCCCTTGGTGTAACAAAAAATAGACAGAGAAAAGTGAAATGTGTGCTGTTGTCGGAAAAGTCACCATGAGGTAAAAACTATGTTTGGCCTTTCATCTGCATCGAAGTTCCCTCACCACTGGATGAACAATTTCCTTTACCTAACCTAAAGACCTAAAGATTACTTCGAAACGCACGACAGCTGACGCCAACCAGCCATTCTCGTCGCGGGCGCCGCGTTGGGTGACGGATTAGTGAATGGCTCGTTTGTGGATTTTTGTCTTGATGCTGGTCATGATTGAAACTTTGGTGGGCTGTCTGACAGAAGCAACGTAGCGATCATCAGCTTTTAGGGCAGATGATTAATATCAAAGCACGATATGATATGAAGACTGGCATGTAGCGTCGTGAATCTCTCACCGAAACCTCCCAAGGACAGTTGAAAACGTCAATACTATCTTGCTGACTTATCCTTGCCTGCAGTGCTGCAGTCCTGACATTGATATCATGTGATGTGCACAGTAGTTACTTGCTTTACTATTTGTGACTAGGACATTTGCATACACAAATATATAAATCTGTAACATTGCTATTAATTTATCGCCAAAGCATTGCTATTTCTATCGTAAAGATGGTAAGGTTGAGCTACCACAATATTTTCTTGCTTAGGATTTTTGATGCAATTTCACTTAACCCTGATAA